TTGAAGCTGTCAGACTTGTTCTCTCTTAAATGATTTTGTCTGTTTACAGTGCTCCACCAGCTGCGGTCTGGGCGCCGTCTGGAGGACCTTGGTTTGCAGTACTGGCTCCGAATCGGACTGCGATCAGACCAAGAGGCCTGCGCCTGCCCGACAGTGCTACCTGAGGCCGTGCTCCACGTGGAAGGTCGGGGAGTGGAGTAAGGTGAGACGGCATGCAGCTCCGCTGTATGTGTCGGACCTTTCACTTCTGAACCACCAAGCTAATTAACGTCGGGAAGGAAAATTCACGCTGCTTCCTCATGCCTCGTTGGTTTACGTGCTTCCCCTCTGGCCCCGCAGTGCACCAAGAACTGTGAAGGCGGAATGAGATTCAGAGAGGTCCAGTGTTTTGACCTGAGAAACCAACGACCTCTGCGACCTTTCCACTGCCGGGCCATGTTCACCAGACCGTTGACACAAATGCCCTGCAACGTTCAGACATGCCTTGACTGGTACACTTCCTCCTGGGGCCAGGTGAGCTAATTAACGAGACTGATCAGAGCTGTGAAATGTAGTCATGCTTCAATATTTGATAGAATCTTTGGTAACCAGGTAGTTCATTTAAGGGAATCATCTATTCCTTTTTCTTTCTTTTTAAATGTTTTCAGGCTCATTGCTGTTGATGCTTGGTTCCATTTCTGTGCTATAAAGTTGAGAAATATGAAAAAATGTGTGGAAAAAATTGAGCTGAAGGCAGCAGAAACATTCAAATATTGATATCTGATCTTTGATGCACAGTTCAAATGCCACGAAAGACGAATGTAGTGATAGAAAAATATATATAAATCAAATGTACCTGAAAATTTGTGTATTTTACGATATGATATTTAGAGGAAAGTAATAATAAAAATTGATAGTGCAGAGCAGTATCTTGGAGACTGAAGTTATATTTTCTTCTTTGTTTCTGACAAGAATGATTGAAATGAAAAAAATAAATAAAAATTATATATATATATATATATATATATATATATATATATATATATATATATATTCAAATGTAAAAAAAAAGTTAGAAAATAAATTTCATATTAGGTTCAAAAAGGAGTAAAATGAAGCTGATGTTAAGTATTATTACTCCAATTTACACCAACATCCTGTGAATCAACAACTGTCTCTGGAATCAAAATCATCGATTGTTATTGTATATTAAAAATTAGCAACATTTGAAAATGGAAACGAAATCAAAAAAATCTCTTCATTGCATAACAGAGACAAGTCGACCAACACAATCACATCATATGAGTAGCAGGACCTGCACTTAAAAACAGAGTCCTGCCTTTGCTTTTCTCTCCCTCCTGCTTCTCCAACACCTGCTGGATCAGAATCCAACCAGCTCCAAGTCCGGTGGTCGAGCAAAATCTGACATGTTGTGAGAGCAGTCTGATAATCGGTGGAGAGCAGCAAACTGTCCAAAAGTAAGCTATTTCAAAGTCCTCTGGCTCCTGGCATTGCTCTGCAGAAAAGTGTGGAATCAAACCACAAGAGAAACTCGGAGTTTCCATGAGCCGCTGCACTTGTCCTCAGCACAATGGCCTTGTTAGGGCTTTGACAGCAAACACCTGGAAAAAGACCCGTCTGAGGTCCTTCACTTTTTTATTATCGGGTCATGAAGTGATTGAGCCAGGCTCGCTTTACATAATCAGTTCATATTTCAGTCGTGATGGATTAGCAACACTAGATTGGTGATGATTGGGATGCCACATGGCTCATTGTTAGAGCAGCTGCACCACATATAGCAGCTATGCTATTATATTATAGTGAACAGAGGGGAATTATACTTTTTTTTACCTCTTGGTGCCCAGTTTGCTTCCCGTCCTCGCGGCCATTTTCATGTCTTTCTCTTCTCTCTCTATCAGCCTTTCTGTCCTGTCCAGCTGCACCTCGATAAAACTGTATCCGTGTCAAACTCTATAAGAAGTTTGATTTTCCCTCAACATGTTTGGACCCTAAAAAGTTAACATGCACAAAAGAGGATGGAGCTATAAAATATTATTGTGGGTAAACATGCAGGACGATTCATTGGAGATTTTGTTGTTGGAGTTTCTAAAAACACAATCGGCAAAAACAAAAATATTTTTACCTAAGGACACAAAAATGGGCCTTGGATGGTTTGGCTGCCGAGTTGCATCCTCTTCTCAGGTTTTACTTTTCTTTCTTGTAATACCCAGATTTCAAATTGTTGCATATTTCATAACAGGAAGATTTTAGCTGAGGTGCTCTTTACCCATTCACTTCATAAAATCACTTATTTCGGAAAGTGAGCTTTTTCTTTCAGTCTCTTAACTTTGACATAAGAATCTTTGAGGCAGAAAGACTCCTAATACTCAGAAATGAATTTATATATAACCAATTTTAAATTGGATGGTTACTTCAGAAGCTGTGTTCCTAGCAGCTTGTCAGAATGAGAGAAGCTATCCCTGTGTCTTCAGCTGAATCTATATTTAAAAAAAAAAAGGCCTAAGAGAAAAACATGGAATAGGATTATCAGAGCTGATGAAGAGCAAATGACTCATCTGTCAGGTCTTGTATTAAATCTTTGCTGGATTTTATGAAAGACGCAATTCTCAGAATCATCTGCTCATCAGTTGCAGATTTTTTTTTTGTTTAAGGTATGAGATTTCTTCTTTTATTCTTTATTTATCCACCTCTCCCGTTCTTTAAAAAAAAAGCGGAAAATATGCTGTCATGGCCACGAATTGTTCTGGAAATTGGTGAATGCGATCAAAGTTCTCAAAAAGAGAGAGATCCTTTGAAAGAAATTGATCAAAAACTGTATGGTGTTTTCTGATAAAGACAAAATATCTGCAATATCTACAATGAAAAGTATTTGGTGAAATGTTTACTAAAGTAACTGAACAGGTCATCTGATTTAATATTCAGAAATTAACTCATCAGATGAACAAAAAGTCTAAAGTTATGTGCAAATGTTGGGAATTCAGAAACTAATAAAAATAAAAAAATAACCCTTTCATGCATGAATTATGATCCTTTGTGGCAGGATTTTTTTCCTTTTTTTTTCTTAAGGCATGAAAAAAGGTAGGAAAAATTTAATTTTTTAAGTAAAAAAAATAATTTAATTTAATTTATTTTAGTTGATCAATTGTAATTTTCTCCAAATACAAAGTTGTTATTTGAAAAAATGCATCAGTAGTACTGTTCTTTAGGGGTTATCTGATGTCACAATATATTTTTTCATCTGTCTACAGTAGAAGGAAGGACCGGGTCGGTCGGCATGCTTTTTTGTCTGTCGGCCATATTGGATTTAACAAAAATTATTTATTGCATTTGCAGCTGATGGCCAGTAGTTGATAATGTATTTTATGATGCATTAGTGTCCACTTCAGTGGTCCGTGTGCATTTATAACATAAAAATCCACAAGAAGCACAAGAAAATGCCTTTTAGATAGCTATCCACTGTAGTGACCGAAAGGGTTAATATAAACAACATGACTATAAAATAAATTAAGCTGAACCATCAATTTAAAAAAAAAAAACTGGGTTTGAGTTGATTCTGGAGCTTGGCCCTATATATTTCCGAGGTTTTTTTTTTGTTTTGTTTTTTTTATAATGTTTGATAACAAAAATTAAAACTTCTCAATGTTTGACATTAGCTGTGTCCGAATTCAGGGTCTGCATCCTTCGAAGGACTGGTCTACGTAGGACGGGTCCTTCGAAGGCCGGGAATAAACTAAGACCGGAAGAAAAATATCTGTGGATTCGGACAGGTCTAGCCTTCACCAACTGTCCCCGCCCCCACCTCAGCGTAACTCATGTTGCCAAGCAACCGTGACAGCGTGAAGCAGAGAGCGGAGAAGAAAAAAACAAAAAAACAACGGAGCCGAAGTTTGTTTTTCAGTCATGTATTACTGATTTCTATATTATTCTTCAACTTTTATAGTAAAGGATGTTCCATAGTAAAAAGGAAATCTCTTAGTTTGATTCTAAAATGTTCAAATGTGTACTGCACTTTTCTACAAGGAATACAAATTATTCATTTACAAATATAATACTCTCCACATCGCAGATAGGACATTACGGTTAAATAAACTTATTATGTTTGAAGGTTTAACTTTAATTAATAAATCAAACCGATGTGCTCTGCTTTGAAATACTTTATAAACCAAACATTTTTCAACCAGACCTGTCTGAATAATATCGGTGTTTAACTCCCACTCATTGGGGAAAGCTAGCGGGAGTTTTTATAACAATGTGCCAGGAGTTAGGCGTTTTCTCTCGGTATACCGAACCTGGAGCGCCCGGCCAGCTGACAGCTGGCGGGGAGCTGGTTGTTAACGCAGCGGTAGCAGACAGGTCCGAAAATGTCAGAGCAATATTGCAATTAGGTGATGTATTGATGAACCGAGCAGATATTTGAGATTTACACACTTACATTCTCGCCTAAAAACGTTGAACCAAATCACGTTGTGTCATTTAAAGTGTTATATAGCTAAATAATTTGTCGCTATTCACCGCCATTATCGCTCTGCCTGAATGCCCAGTTGGAACCCGCAATGAATTATGGGATATCGTGGGCCGTGAAGGATACACCGGACCCATCCTTCAAATCTGGGGAAAAGAAGGACGCATTTGAAGGATGCATTTGAATTCGGACAGGCCTTGTCGCCACGCTATGACGTAATCGGCCTACAAATCCGTCCTTCGAAGGATGCAGACCCTGAATTCGGACACAGCTATTGTCTAGCAAAATGTTTTTACGTCAGGCTACAATAGAATGTTCAGTTCCAATGTTATCAATGACATCAGCAGTGATGTCATCTCTCTATGATATCACAAGGGAATCTCTCTCTTGAATGTGGCTCGCAGACAGAGTTTTCTCTGACCTGTTCCACAGTTCAATCGCGGCAGATCACCCTTCAGAGCTTGTTAGATATCGAATCCAGAGAAGTGAGAATTTACCAGTCATGAAGCAACAGCAGACTGCTTTTAAACATGAAACTTTTCCAGCTAAGCTTTCATGGGTCGACATTGTAGATCTCAACATCCAAGTCGACTATGACGCTGTCATTTTCCCTGTTGAAGATGACAGCGTCAGTCCCATTGAGCCGGAAGATCAATCAGAGATCCAGGGGGAATCAAGTCCTTCCGGCAACTTTGAGACATCTTTGAAAGTCGAGCAGAAAACAACACCCTCTGCTGGCTTCAAGATTACCCCGTCAATGGAAGTCTTGGAAGAGACAAACCAACACGTTAAAGATCTGACAAAGCAGGTAGACGATCTTAAAACAGAGTTGCAGAGAAAGAATTTTGAACTCCAAGAGGAAAGAGACCGAAGGGTTGCATGTCAGGCTGAAGTCACATCCCAGCAGGAGGAGATTCAAAGACTGCAAACAATGTTGGAAAAAGAACATCACCAGCAAAAGATTAAAGATGTGTCAAAGGTTTCCTGCTCTTCCAAAGTCACAGTTGACAAGAGCGTTCTTCAACAGCTGGAGTACTTCAAGCAGGAGGCTGCAAAATACGCCTTCCGCAATAAAGGTCTTATTGAAGTAATGGTTGAAGAATACAAAGTGAGACTTGAATATGAGGAGCAGCTCAAAAATCACTCTGAGCAAGCTTCCAAATTTAAGGCTCAGGAGGAAACGGTGAAAGCTCTCCAGGGTCAGATTGCAGACCTTAAGGTGGAGTTAAAACTTGCTCTAGAAAATATCCATCCTAGAGTCTCCACCCAACCAAAGACCCCCCTGCAAGCAGAGGAGCCCAAGCAAAGGCAGACCTTCAGTCAACAAGGGGTCTCCATGAATAGCCTGACTCGGCCTTTGCGCCGACCCACATCCAGCTTGCAAACAGAAGGCTCCCTACAAATAGAGGAGACCAAGAAAAGGCAGACCTCCAATCAACCAGGGAGGTCCGAAGAAAGACATACCTTTGATCAACCAGGGAGGTCCGAAGAAAGACGGACCTTCACTCAACTAGGGAGGTCCGAGGAAAGACGGACCTCCAATCAACCAGGGAGGTCCGAGGAAAGACAGACCATCTATCAAACACAGAGGTCTGAAGAAAGACAGACGTCCATGCGACCAACCTCAACTGGTTGCATGCAGGGCCTTCATGTTGGCATTGGCATGAAGACCAATCTAAGCCCG